GCGTCGTAGCGCCGATTGTATAGCGTGGTTCGCCAAAGACCTTAAAAATTTAGCAATTCGCGTTAAGAATATCTTAAAAACAAATGTCCCCATGGTAAATTTAACGTCCGAAGAGTGGGAAAAATTCCATAGCGCCACTCGTTGTCATATATGCGAAAAGCCGTTCGCGCAAGACGATACACGCGTACGCGATCATTACCATCTGACCGGGCGGTACAGAGGTCCCACGCATTCAAACTGTAATTTAAATTATAAAGATTCTTTTTGTATTCCGATAGTTTTTCACAATTTATCCGGTTATGATTCTCATTTTATTATCGAGGAAATAGCCACAGCGTTCGAAGGGAAAATCGAGTTACTTCCAATAACCAAGAAAAAATATATTTCGTTTACCAAAAATGTTGATCATAAAGAAGAATCAAAAAATGTTGATCATAAAGAAGAATCAAAAAGAAGAATCAAAAAATCAAATAAAATTACGTTTCTTTAAATTTCTCGCATCGAGTCTCGACAAATTGGCATCATTTTTGGACAAAGCTTAAAATTTTAAAATCAGAATTTCAAAATTTATCTGCAGAACATTTCAATTTGTTAACGCGAAAAGGCGTCTTTCCGTACGAATACATCGATTCCATTGACAGGTTGCACGATACGTGTTTACCATCGCGCGAATCGTTTTACAGTTCCTTGACCGGTGAAACTATATCAGAGAGTGATTACGCACACGCCGAGAATATCTGGACGTGATTCTCCATTCGAACGCTGGGCGAATATAGCGATTTGTATCTGAAAATCGATGTCTTATTATTAGCCGATATTTTCGAAAACTTTCGCGATAGTTGCATCAAAAGTTACGGACTCGACCCCGCGTATTACTATACTCTCTCCGGATACACGTGGGACGCCATGTTAAAACATACGAAGATTACGTTCGAGCTGCTTACAGATATCGACATGGTTATGTTTATTGAACGTGGTGTACGCGGTGGTCTAAGTCAATGTTCCAACAGATACGCGCGCGCTAATAACAAGTATATACAAGAATCGTACGATTCATCGAAACCATCGTCGTACTTGATGTATTTTACGAAGGGGACATTCTCCTTGTGAATTTTAGGAACCGACATACGTGGGCCAAACGAAACGACAGTTAGGCACTAGAATTAAAGAACACGCAAGAAATATCAGACTAGAATCTTCGAAGCATACAGTAATGTCAGAACATATTATAAATAAACAACATACGTTTGATTGGGAAAACGTTAGAATTTTAGATACAGAGGTTCATTACAAGAAAAGACTTATCTCTGAAATGTTCTGTATGTACACATTAAAGAACAAAAACATGGAATTAACTTGAACACAGATACAGAATTACTCGATAGTGCATATTTCGATATTCTAGACGAGTTATCCAACGGATAATTGCATAGACCTTATAAGTATGGACTGGCAATACGTATCAGACTGTGTCCGGAGGAGATTAGAGAGAGAAACATCTTTTTGGTACTTCTCTTTCTACAAGTGTCCGGAAATACGTTTTGCGCATGCACCTGACATATACTATATAATAAAACATTCTGATTGATGTATATGTGTATGTGTATATGTATTATTACAGAGAGAACATAATATTGAGGTTGTGTCTCTGAAGTCTCAGAAAGTCTCTGTATTTAATATTAATTTAATTATTTTAATAAAGATTAACAATAATGGTTCGAAGATGTATTGTTTGTGATATAACGTATTCATCAAAAAATAGTGTTTCTTTTTACTCGTAAGTATTAATGAAACAAATCGTAATGTCATAAAATGACATTCTATAAACAGTACAAGAAAGAAAAACATCAAAAATTTCAGTTTTCCAACAAATGAAAAATATAAAAAATTATGGATGGGTGTGTGCAATATAAGTGAAATCACGAAAGAAAGTAGAGTATGTTCACGTCACTTCAGTTCATCTCATTTGCAATGGACTAATAGATCTCGAAAAATTTTACAACCAAATGCAGTTCCATTATTATTTCTTGGAAAAAGAAAAAAGTATCTAAAAAGGTAATATAAGATATAATAAATATAATATAAAGACGAAAAAAATGTAATATGCAATTTTAATCGCTACAGAAAAGTTATGTTCTATATCTTATTAAAAAATGTTATTAATAATGTTTAGAAAAACCACTTTTCCAAAAAATTTTGCTTCAATAATATATATTTATTATTTTAGTATACAAAAACAATGTTTGACTGTTTCAAATATTGTATCAAACCTATCTTCTCCCTCAACGTCAGATGCAGAAAATACAAAAGAATCTATTTATAATCAAGAAGAAATGGAAATTACATTATCAGGGTATATTATTCTTTGCTCCTATGAAAATAAAAATATATATTTAAAATGTAGATTTATTTATAATTTTATTTTAATTGATTTAAAATATGTACATATGTTTTTATATTTTTGTTTTGTAGAGCTCAAGAGTCATCCATATGTAATATAGATGAAGCATCAACAATGACAGTAAATGAAAGTGAAAGAAAAGAAATTAACAGTGAAGAAGAGACATTAAATAAAAGTGAAAGGAAAGAAATTAATGAAGAAGAGAAATGCATGGAACCAATATCATTACAGTAATATATTTATTGTTTATCATAAAATATATTCTATATATATATATATATATATATATATATATATATATTATTTTATATATTATATGTAGAAGATATAGAAATATATGTATTATATAAAATGATTTTTTTAGCGAGTCACATAGTGCAAGTACAAAAATTTGGCGTCCTGCAAGAATTGGAGATTGTATAGCTGAACATTTCTCAACTCCACGCCGTGCTAAGTTATGCTTTGATGTAGCTATACGAAAAGTCTCCCAATATCGCAAACAATTAGATGCTTCTAGAAAGCGATTTAAAAGATTGCAATCAAAAGTGCAGACATTGGAGGATTTACTTTCAACATTACAAAAGAAACGATTAATCTCAGAAAATGCAGCTCAGATGTTACTGGTACACATCAAATCTTAATGTTATTAACATTTTATCATTAAATAGTTGTGAAATGTACAAAATGTTTCTATCAAAATTGATCATAATGAACATAACTTCTTAATTCTATAATTGCTCTTATAAGATGAACACTCATTAATTATTTAATCTCATTAGTTAATTAATTTAATTTGTTGTTAAACTAGGGCAATAAAGAATTAATGTGATATATAAAAATTTTCATTAAATCTTAAAAAAAGATAGTCTTAATAAATTTAGCATAAATTTATCTTTTATGATAAAGAGTGTAAAAATTTATATATATATATATATATATATATATATATATATATATATATATTCTATAATTGATTTATTATTATAAACTTCAGAAGATTTTATACAATCTATTAAATACATTTTTAATAATTAATATTTTATAGCTTCCACTTATATATAATTTAGTTTAAAATTTTTACTTTACAATAAAAACATTTTATCATGTATATGTGTATACAATGATAAATAATCAATTATATAGAAACTGTTTTTCAGATTTTACTACTACTTAATGTTTAAAATTTTAATGCAGTTTTTTGTGGATTTTTTACAGAGCTAATGAGAAAATTAATATATATTAGGTAACAATTATTTTTTAAATATAACTGTTATTTATTAATGAAAAAAGGAAATTTTTTATTAAGAAGTATTAATTTTTTCTATTTTCACATATAGACGACAACATCAGATTCGCTTTCAGAGATAATGAAAAGACATTTGTCGGGAGTCAAGAAAGCATCGTTTATTTCAGATTTAAGACGATTTGCTATCACTTTACACTTTTATTCGGCTAGAACTTATGCATATGTCAGAAGATCTTTTAATAACTTATTACCTAGCGAGCGTACAATACGAAAATGGTTTGAATCAATTGATGGCAAACCAGGCTTTACACATGAATCTTTTAATTCCATTCGGCAAAAAGTACAAGAAGGAGTTGTTATTGTTAACGTTGTAATTGATGAGATGGCCATTAGACAACATGTTCACTGGGATAGTCATAATTATTCTGGTTTTGTCAACTTAGGTTCTGATTTTACTTATGATCATGATGAATTAGATTTAGCTAAAAATGCTTTAGTATTTCTTGCCGTAGCTTTAAATAGTTACTGGAAAATACCATTAGGATATTTTCTAATTAATAGTTTCAATGCCATGGAAAGAGCAAATTTATTAAACATTTGTTTATCGTTATTACATGATACAGGATGTCATGTACATTCAATTACTTTGGATGGAGCCCCTGTCAATAAGTCTATGTGTGCACAACTTGGTGCTGTTTTTAACTTTAACACTTCTTTGTATACTTTTTATCATCCTGTAACAAGAGACAATATCTTTATTTTTTTGGATCCTTCCCATGCTATAAAGTTAATAAGAAATACTTTTGGTGAAAAAAAATTCTTTTTAATGAAAAAGGGGACATGATAAAATGGGATTATATTATCGCACTTTATAATAAAGAAAAAACGGAAGGATTAAAAGCTGCCACAAAATTAACTGGACGTCACATAAATTATTATAATGAAAAAATGAATGTTCGTTTAGCAGTCCAAGTCTTAAGCGAGAGTGTTAGCAAGGCATTAATATATTGTGCGGAGAAAAAATATGATGGTTTTGAAGGAGCTTTTACTACAGCAGAATTTTGTTCATTAATGAACCAAGCATTTGATATATTAAACTGTCGAAGTAAATTTTCTAAAAAACCTTTCAATCAGCCTATTAGTAATAATACAATTGAAAAATATTCAGAGTTTGTATCATTATTTAAAACATATGTTTCTAATTTAAAAGATAATACTGGCAAAAAAATCATACATTCAACAAGAAGTACGGGGTTCATTGGAATAATTTGTAGTTTAAAAAATGGACTTGAATTATATCAAACTTTGTACTCAAAAAAATATATTGAATATTTACTTACATATAAATTACTACAGGATCATTTGGAATCATTTTTTAGTGCAATCCGAAGTCGTGGAGGATTTAATAGTAATCCATCAAGTGTTTCATTTGAAAGTGCTTATAAAAAGTTGCTGGTACACCATCAAGTATCAGAATCAGCACATGCTAATTGTACAATATTAGATACGACATCAATATTACCTGTTTCCGTTCCAAAACATAAAAATGTTATTGATACTATTAATAACAATGAACAAATTGATTTAAATGCAAATGTTTTAAATGATCATGATTAACATATCTGCTATTCCTGTTTTAAGTACATTTGTCGAAGATGTCACAAATTATATTGCTGGATTTGTTGTGAAACAAATAAAAAAAAGAATATCATGTGCAATATGCGAAAAACAATTAGAAACAAATAATAGTACAAACTTATTATTACTTTAAAAAATAGAGGCATGTTAATTAAACCATCAAAAGATGTTAATTATATTTGTACATGGGCAGAAAAAATTATTAGAGAATATCAAAATGAAATTTAAAAAAAAAATATGAAACCTGTAATTATTAATAAAGTTGTACAACATGTATTACCTTATGTATTTCTCAATTTGAATCATCATATTCTTTCTCAAGAACCATTTAATAATCATAAAAAACAATTAATTGTATGTATAACAGAACATTACATTAATATAAGATTCCATCATTTAGGAAATACGTAACAAAGAACAGAGAAAGAGACAAAAATTAACAAAGTTAATTTTATTTAATCATGAATAAAAAAATAATATAATTTTTGTACATTGTATTTTTATTTCTATCTATCCTACTTATTTGCTTAATGTAAACAAGATTAAGATTTTATTTTATAGTATTTTTTAATTTTATGAAGAAATACAAAAACATTTTTTAAGTACTAAAAATTTTTTAAGTACTAAAAATCTTAAAATATAATGAACTTAACATATAGTATAATGTTATATTAATTATTTTTAATATTAATTATTTTTAATAGTATACAGTAGGTTTTAGATGAAAAAATATTATTAAAGTATAATTTAATTAAAATTTTGAAGAGAATGCTGTTATATAGCTTTATATATCTACATAATTTAAATTACACATATTTTTTATATCTATTTTTAAAACATTTTATTTAACAACACAAAACTTATATTATTATTGTTGCAGAGTAATAAAAATAAGTTATAACATTCATTTTTTGGCATAATATTTTTTATAAAAGTTGTAAATAATTTATTTCTTGATAAATCATATTATAAACTTAATCTAGCTTATTTAAAACTGACATGCGCAATGCATACTTCCGGACACTTGTAGAAAGAGAAGTACTAAAAAGTATGTTTCTCTCTCTAACCTCTTCCGGACACTGCTTCTCTAAAGAAACTATAGGCAATTGCCAGTCCATATCTGTAAGGTCTATGGATAATTGTTACTTTGTTTTTGTTTTTATTTTGTCACCATGTTATTTTCAACTTTTATCATGACACATACTAACAGTCATGGTTCGAACTCCGAAACAGTAAGAAGCCTTTAAGATCATTATGACTCTCGCAGAAGCAAATTTTGACATTCGCGTTTTAACAAGCAATTTTAATTATCATTGACTTCAACATTAGTTATTCATTCATTATTATCAATAGATATCGCGTTAGTACATACTAATTATTGTTTTTTTAAATACTCATGGAAATTTTAATAACTCATTTAATGTAGTTTTTCATTTCTTTATCTAATTTATTCCTATTAGCAGTATGAGATGGATTGACTCTGACACAGCTTGACGCAATCGATTTCAAATCAACAATTTCTCGCTTTCCAACGAGGAAGATGGTTTGAGTGGGGCGTTGGCGTTGTCTCTCGGCGTTACTCCGTTTCCTATCGTCGAAACGTATAAATGCGATCCGCAGAAGTATTTGAGGGCTTCTTATTATTCTTTTTCTACGCTCTGATGATCATTTAACATTTTGACTCAGTTATAATTGTAATTTACGACCAATTATGAACTAATTTAATATATTGTTTTTGTTTAAATATCATACTGAAGAAGACTAAGTTAAGTCGAAACGTTTGTGATCTTTTAATTAAATTAACTTATAATTAACTGTTTTATTTATTTTTATTTCTAACTTATTAATTTGCTCGTATTGTCGGCCCTTTAATGTTAATTTGATTATTATTGCATTGCAATACACGAGCTTTCTAATTATCATTATATCTGTTATTAGAATATCTAATTTAAATTTAATGATTCTACACCGTCTCATTCGAGTTATAGATTATTAATTATTAATTTAATAATATTTATATCAATAATTTGTATGTTAAGAAATATTATGTATATTTTACGTGAGAATAATATTTTAGAAAATATTTTAGACTGTTAAAATTGGCTGGAAAAGGTGAAACTCGAGTTGCCTGGGGGCAATAAAAGTGAAATCGTCCTGACTCACAAAGGGTCGCTCAGGGCAATAAAAGTGAAATCGTCCTGACTAGTGATGGTAGGCCGGGTGATTTTTTGGCGCATGCGCAGTAGAAATCGCAGAAAAGCAACGGTGTATCGGATAGTGGATTATGGGCGCCAAAGTTACATAAAACTAATCACTCGGTCATTAGCAAAATAGATTGGAATCCGGACATGATTTTGACTGGTCGAAACCTAATATTTTGCATAATGAAAAATATGTTCGAAAGAGAGAAATTGCCGAGATGTTCTTTATCAAGAAATTTAATAATTTAATCAACTTACGGAAAGACACGGATAGTTTAAACAACATTTACGACAAAATAATAAAGGTCACGTAGTTTCGTTTTCCTCTGGTTGTGTTTAGTTTCTTGACAAAGTTTGACACGGACGCATCAATTTCTCTCAAGTTCAAATCTAGTTAAATAACGTTTTTTGTTAATGTGATTTGTACAGTTTACAAGATTATCGTCTATGCCTGTTTCCTGATTATTATTACATCGGTATAAAAATTGTTCACACTTTAATTCGTTGAGCGTATTATGTATTCAAACCGTTAATTAATTAATTTATTTATAAATCTTTTCCAGTATATACTTGATAAGGACCACACTTTTTCGACTACACTTTTTTCAATCCTTTGATATCTTTTGATATATCCTTTGATATATTATTATAATGGAGCCTACTATTTCTAAAGGAGCTATTAAAAAGCGTCAAATTAGACAATTTCAAGCTGCATGGTTAGATGAAAATGTTTTTAAAAGATGGTTGGCTCCTCATACTTCAGAAGATAAAGCGCTTTGCATGGCTTGTAATAAAACTCTCAGTTGTCACAAAGCGGATTTAATTAAATATTCACAGAGGGTAAAACATATCGAGAATGTTAATTCTTCAGATTATAAAACCATCAATAATAATGATAATGATAATAATAATAATAATAATAATACATGGTCGCGTCAAAGATAGAGTCAAACGCGCAGAAATTAAATTAGCAGCTTTTTTCGCGGAACATAATGTCGCCTTTTCGATCGTAGATCATTTAATTCCGTTATTAAAAGATATTTGTATAGATCCTAAAATTGTGCAAGACCTTTCACTTGCTCGAAAAAAGTGTTCATCTATAATTAAAAATGTAATAGCTAAATGCGAAACAGAAAAAATTTTTGAGGATTTAAACACTAGCAGATTTTCTATTTTAATCGACGAGAGCACAGATATATCGGATACAAAATTAATGTGTATTCTTGTTCGATACATTTCTCCTTTGAGTAAAAAAATTACTACTAAATTATTAGAATTATACCCTTTAAATGCAACAGATTGTTCTGCAAGTAAAATTTTCGAGTCATTTAAAAATTGTATTGAAGAAAAAGAAATTCCAATTAAAAATATTGTCGGATTAGCATGTGACAATGCATCTGTTATGGTAGGATGCAATAATTCTTTTATGAGTCATTTAAAGTCAGAAATACCAAGATTAATAACAATGAATTGTATTTGTCATTCATCTGCACTTGTAGCAAGTAAAGCTTGTGAAAAATTACCTTCGTCTTGTGAACATTTGATTAAAGGAGTTGCTACTTATATTTCGAGCAGTGCAAAGAGAAGTGCAATTTTAGTTGAATTTCAGGATTTTTTTAATGCAGAACGACACAAAATATTAAAAATACAAAATATACACAAATATACACAAATATACACAAAATATAAAAAATTATTATCTAATACTAGATGACTTAGTTTTCACAAATGTGTCGTTAGACTTCTTGAAAATTGGGAAATCTTGAAAAATTATTTTGTTTTAGCTGTAATGGAAGATAAATTAAAATCTGCAGAGACTATTTTAGAACATTTAAATGATAATTCTATTAAAGCATATTTATTATTTTTGAAATATTCTTTGAATTTTTTTAACAGCTTTAACGCTTTGTTTCAGTCTCGTAATATTTTAATACATAAATTATATGATAATAGTCAACAAATAATGTTTCAGTTTGCTCAAAATTTTGTAAATTTTGATGTTTTAAATAATATTTGTAATTTAGATTTAAATGATAAAAATAACTTACAACACATAGATAATGTATATGTGGGACCAGAATGTGAAAGCTTTTTAGAAAATTTATCTTTGGAATGCGCGCATGAGATTAGATTAAAATGTTTAGATTTTTATATTACTGCAGTTCAAGAAATGCTGAAACGTTTACCGTGTACAGATATATTTTTTAAACAATTAACATTTCTAGATCCTCAAATTGCTTTATATAATGAAGGTAGAAATAAAATTAGAGATTTGACTTTTATTGCAACGCGAGTAGAACAAATTAATTTAACACAATTAGCTTTTGAATGGAGGATTTTGCCATCAATTTTTGATGAACCAAAGAAAAAAGAGTTAGCTTCTTTAGAAATAGATGAGATGTGGAAAAATATATTAAGTTCTAAAAATTTTGACGGGACAAAAATATTTCCAAATTTAGAATCTTTAGTTTTGATCGTTTTTTCTCTTCCACACTCTAATGCTGAGGCCGAAAGAATTTTTTCTATAGTAACAGATGTAAGAAATAAAAAACGAAATCGTTTATCTAATGATACAGTTTCCACGATTTGTATAGTTCGGTCTAGTTTTCAAGACGAAGGTATTAATTGTACAAATTTTGAAGTCGATGCAAGGCATTTAGAACTGCATAATACATCAAATTTATATGTAGAACAGAGCACAACTGATAGTTTATAATTTTTTAATATTTTTATATGTTAAATATTATTTTGCATGTGAGCTTTTGCATTATATATATTTCATATTTTGCCATTAGACTATGGAGCCATTTTCTTCAATGCATGCTGCATATATGTTATTATTAATTGTTATTATTTTTCAGAGTTTATATATTTATTTTCTATATTAATGTAAATCCTTATATTTCTGTGCAATATTTATGTGCAACATTTTTATTTTCTTTATGTTGAGTTTTTATTATTTTTAATAGATTTTAAAAATGTTATGTATAACTTAATTTATAACTAAAATTATTTAACAAATGTGATATGTGTAATTAAAATGTGATAAATTAATGTGATAATTAATATAATGGAAATTATTAGCATTTTAATTTTAGAAATTTAATATTATATTTAAGATTATAATTATAATAATAATTATAGTTTAAAAATTAATTATAAATATTCTTATATTATTTTATAAAGTTAATTAATTTTCTGTTTTTGTATATTATTAAGTACATTTTTTAATATATATATATAACATATTATTTCTTTATATTTATACATAAAAAAGATACCTATTTATTTATTTTATAAATGTATTTTTGTTTTATGAATACTGATAAGGTTTTTGGCAGCTTTCCTTATCCTTGCAACAAATATTCTATGATATTTCTGCCAAATAAATTATTTTTTGTTAATATAAAAATTGTGTTTTGTTTTTGTATCTTTTTCTTTTTTAGCTTAATTAAATGTTTGATAATAATATATATGATAGTGTGGTGTTGGTCGCTCGTAAAAATTTTCTAAAAATTTCCCTTCAGAAATTTATTTAAGGGCGACGAGTGACACACTTTTTTACTTTTACTAGATACTTCGGTAACGCCGCGTTCGCGGCGCATGCGCGAAAAAATCACCCGGCCTACCATCACTGGTCCTGACTCACAAAACAAAGGGTCACTCAGGACAATAAAAGGGAAACTCGGGTCACATCAGAAAAACAAGGATCGGGTAACAAAGGAAAACTTGCATGTGCAGGATTTCTTGAACAGAATATTTCAAATTTTCCACTTACTTGATATATTCTAAAATCCTGTAGAATATTTTTCACCACGTGGTTGATTATTTTCCACTGATTAATTACGCAGGCACATTGGATGACGTCGTACCTCGTGGATCCTTCTTGTGGAAAGTTATCGGGCGGTAGAGCTTGTCTTCGACGTCTATCGGTGTGAGTTGAGTTAGCCACTTAATTTCGCAATCACTATTTATCACTTTACCCGCGAATAGCAGTTCGTATTCTTTGTCGTAATGATCCGTCTACACGATATCGATATGTAGTCAGGATGCGGCACGGTGATATCTTGCTACTAATCGACGAAGTTGATTTTTCCTACCGGCACGGCATGTCTTAAACATTGTAAAAATTGAAAATCATATTCAGATTTGTGATATGAATTAAAATATCTAATTTAAGTTTAATGATTCTACATCGTCTAATTCGATTAGTTATAGATTATTAATTATTAATTTATTAATATTTATATCAATAATTTGTATGTTAAGAAATATTATGTATATTTTACGTAAGAATAATATTTTAGAAAATATTTTAGACTTTAAAATTGGCTGAAAAATGTGAAACTCGAGTGTTGCCTGAGGCAATAAAAGTGAAATCGTCTTGACTCACAAAATAAAGGGTCGCTCAGGGCAATAAAAGTAAAATCGTCCTGACTCACAAAACAAAGGGTCACTCAGGACAATAAAGTGAAACTCGGGACGCATCAGAAAAACAAGGGTCGGATAATAAAAGTAAAACTTGCATGTGTAGGATTTCTTGAACAGAATATTTCAAATTTTCCACTTACTTGATATATTCTAAAATCCTGTAGAATATTTTCCACCACGTGGTTGATTATTTTCCACTGATTAATTACGCAGGCACGTTGGATGACGTCACACCTCGTGGATCCTTTTCGTGGAAAGTTGTCGGGCGATGAGCTTGTCCTCGACGTCTATCGGTGTGAGTTGAGTTAGCCACTTAATCTCGCAATCACTATTTATCACTTTACCCGTGAATAGCAGTTCGTTATTCTTTGTTGTAATGATCCATCTACGCGATATCGATGTAGTCAAGATGCGGCACGGTGATATCTTGCTACTAATCGATGGAGTTGGTTTATCTTACTGGCACGGCATGTCTTAAGCATTGTAAAAATTGAAAATCATATTCAGATTTGTGTTGTCTTGGCAATGATTTAATGTGCGACGATCCTCACTATCAAGGATTGCCTTAGCTGTGTTGCGAGCGGTTGTCCTCTCAGAACAAACACCACGAATCCGAATTATTAATTCTGATGTTTAATTATTTTTCTGATTTTCTGTAGGCGGCGAGCGGTTCATCCTCTCTGAGTCACTTCAAATTCGAAGTCCCGATTTAATTATTATAATAAATTTATTAGCACATGCCTGGATAAGAATATATTTATATGTTAATGTCGCGTCGCGTGGGATATGGATTTATTGAATTAGAATTCCTTTCAAATAATCACAAGATTTAACACGCACTAATATATATTTCTAAATTAATACACACAATGTAATATATTTAAACTAACACTTAAACTTGAGAATGAATTTATAAATGAACTTAATAAACTTTAAAATTAGAATTAGAATTAGAGTTAGAGTTAAGATACATTTATTAAGATTTAGAGTTAGAGTCCAGCTTAGGACTTGTCGGTTCGGTGTCGCGAGTTAGACTGACTGAGTCTAGGCCTGCTCTGAGGTCCCTCAATTTCGGCTCAGCCGCTACGGCGATCGAGAGTGGGGAGCTCCTGAAGTAATTGAAATCAAAATTTCAAATATTTGAAGCAGATCAAATATTTATCAATTCATTTGTCAAACTTGTTCTATTAATAATTTATTAAATAAATTAAAACATCAGAAGTTTGTTTATTTGTTACACTTTTATTTGTTAGACAAAAAATTTTTTTTGGCTAATTTTGGTCGATTACATTATTTCCAATGAACCTTTGATTAATTGACTAGCGATATTAAGATAATTTATAAAATTAAAAAATCAGTATTAATAGAGAGATAGAGATAAGACAAAAAGGTTGCAAAATAATCTTGTTAGTAACAAATATCTCTTCAACTTGAAGAAATGGCCAATCTTTATTCTGCTAGAAGAGGAAATTCTTCTGCGAATTGATCTGGCTTTGATATAGTAAAATTTCCTCTTATTTTTTTGTTATCTTTTCCTGCTTTGACAATAACATTTAAACTTTCATGTATTTTCAAACAGATGATGGAGCTTTAATTGTAACAAGAAATGAAATGACATATATATGCCATAGGAAATAACAAAAATCAATTAGGGATACCATATAGAGATAATATATTACAGCTAACAAAAGTAGAAATCTTAAATAAAATTTGTAATAAAAATATAAAGAAGTTCTTCTTTCAGAAGAAGGAGAAGTATGCTCAAAAATTATAATGTTAAAATTATATAAAATGTTTTTATACATATTATATTATATTTTATAAAGTATTGTGTGTATGATAATGTTATAAAAATAAGTTTTATTATATATAAGTTTAAAATTTGAAGCACAATGTTTGAAAAATATAATTACCTTTTTAAATAAAGTGTATAGATAAAAAGATTTAACTTTGAATTTCAAACTTTAGAAGAATTTTATGATATTTTCTTATCTTTACAATGAGAATGGAAATTACAATATATAATTTTTTTATATTTAATACATTCACATTGTTATAATTAGCTTTAAAGATCCCAGCTAACAAGACAACGTCAAAATGACGTGAAAAATACGTAATTTTGATGACGATAACGTCATGTGACTTAAATGGTACGTTATTTTGACGTGATTTTAAATACTAAAATAGTACGTCATTACTGTTACATCGAAAAGACGTAACATTAACGTCGAATATATAAATGTATTTTGTATGCCCAAATAATGACATGGCATTGTTCGCGCGTTATATATTTTAATGATAATTTTAATTTCTAAGTTATTATAAGCTATTATAAACTATTATAAAAACAATTAACAAAAAACTATAGTCATTTAAATTATAGTCATTTTGACGTAATTTGATGTAAAATTGACGTCAAAACTAATTTTGCTACCTTGGTGCTGCGCGGCAAGAATAACACGGTAACCAATCAACATACCGCTTTTTGATAAGAGCTTTTAATAAGGGCATGGTTTATTAGCTACCGCGTCACTTCTTGCAGTGCTGCAAGCGGCAAGCGTTTCCGTTTTCCGTATCCCGTGCAGGCAGAAACCACATGTATCATGTGCTTGAAGTTATTTTTTAGTAAATTTAAGTAAGAGAGCAGAAGTTTAAATTGTGCTAAAGTTTAAGTTTGTACATTAGTAAAGTGTATTTCAACATCAATAAGGTAAGATAAAAATATATTTTTGTATTATTTTGTATAGATATACGTATGAATTAAACATGTGAGGTTATATTGTGAAACAGAGATTATAAATTCTTTACAATATCTACATTTATAACTCATTAAAAAAAATTTAATTAATATTGTAAAATGCAGTCTTTATAATTGTTGATACATAGATGGCATTCGTAGGAGTAGAATTTTGTACAGAAGCAGATGATGATGGAAGTTTGGCTACTGTTCTCTCACAGTAGCTTACACCACGAAAACAAGAAGTACTTTGGCCACCTGTTAAAACACAGGACAATTTTAATAAATTATTAAAAAAGAAGGAAACACCGACGGAAAACTGGCAAATGTATAAAATAAAAAAAGTTCTTTTTACAACTGGTAAGAACAATATAACATTCTGTTTAAAAATTATAGGTTATAAAATTCTTGATTTCTTATATATTTTCAGACAATTTTGAAAAAGCAAAAAAAAAGTTGCAAAAATATGAATGGACATCTGATATCGCGACAGATGACAATGAAAATATTATTGGAAAAAGGAATAGAACAAAACCAAAAAAGTATATAACAACATCATCTGAATCTTCTAATGAAGAATTGACATCACATGCAACTATCAATAAAAAGATACCTCCTAGGCCTCCTCAAATTGTGAAGAATACTTTATATAATAAATTCAATATAGTTAAAGCAGTGAGTGCACATTCATCATCATTATCTCATTGTCAGACACATTTCAAAGAAACATCTACTCCCGTAAATCTCATTGAGGAAGTAACAACAAATACAGAAAAAGAGCTCGAAAATGGTAATACATCACTTTTCCTACATAAACATTTACATACGCATACACACACACACACACACACATACACAATCGTATTTCATAATTTATTTATTTTATTTATTTACAGAAAGTGTTTCAAACGTTATAAATAATACCACAGTTCTTTTGAAAGCACTTGTTTTCGTTAAGCAACAGAATCGACAAATAATACATCAAAACGAAGAAATTCTTAAAATATTAAAAAATAAGGAACGTTCTCAGGGCCCAAATTTTCAAGAGCCAAATTTACCTGTACAACTACCATTGAAAAATTTTGAAGAAGTGACTCTTCTTCATGATCATATAAATGACAACGAGAATTTTTCTGAATTGGTATGCTTTTCAAGTGTTTTTAAAATATAAGTGTCTTTATAAAGATTACATAAATAATTATATTTGTAGATATCATATTTGTCAACATTAGGAGGCCATGATGTTACTTCGAAAACAAACGCTATTTTAAGAAAGATTCTTACTAATGAAGTGGCATCTCACTACAGTTTTCTTGGTAGCAAAAACCAAAAGAAAGCATTTCCAACAATAAATTTGAATAGAGCAGTAATTAGTAAGTTTCTTTTACTTTCTTATTTTGCTTTTTAATTTTTTTATTACAGTTTTATTATTTAACATTTTAATTTAAGGAGCAGTTCAAATTGCAATACCACAAACATCAGAAGATGATGTAACTGTTTGCATTAAAAACTGGTTGAAACCTTCCCCTCAACGTCTTACATTGGAGTTAAAAAAACAAAATAATCAGTAAAGAAACATTCTTTATTCGTGCAATTACGCTAATAATTTTCTTTTTTATTTGTTATTATTTTATTATATAATTTTTTTATATAATTATTTTATTTTTATCATTATGTCTGCATATAATACGTGCAATCGTAAAAGTAAAAAATTTGTTACTAACAGACATTTATATCGAAAGGCAGAAAAAGAAGTTAATGAAATTATTTTACATTTAAATTCAAACACTAAAAGTAAAATGCGGGAAGAAATAGTAGCAGAAACATTAAAAGAATCATTCACGCAATTTGATAATCTTCCTACATGTAAATCTCCAATCATGGTTAACTATACTGACATAGATTTATCGACAAGTGATGTTGACAGTTATTGTTTTAATACATCTTCTGATTGTATTGAAGAAATAAGTAATGATACAGAATCTATGCAAAATACACATACAATACAAGAATCTAACAACTGTAGTTCAATTGTAGATGCTATAAGAATGTGGGCATTGACAAACTCGAATGTTTCTCATGCATCAATTAGTTCATTACTTCGTATCTTACATTCATTTCATCCAGAACTGCCTCTTGATGTTAGAACGCTTTTAAAGACTTCGTCATTGAAATTTAATATCAAAGAATTGAAAAATGGACAATTCATTTATCTTGGCATTGAAAATGCGTTAAAGACACATCTTTTTAAAAACTCTAATTTTTCGGAAAATATTATTAAACTTATTATTAATGTAGATGGACTCTGCTTATTTAAAAGTTCTAGTATAAATTTGTGGCCAATTTTAGGAATGGTGCAAAATTCTGTTCGGAAACCATTTGTGATTGGAATTTTTTGTGGAATATCGAAATCACAACCATTATCTGATTTCTTGGATGATTTTATAATTGAATTGTCGCATTTGCTTACTAATGGCTTTCAATTAGAAAAACATCAAGTAGAAAAACATCAAGTAGAAAAACATCAATTAGAAAAACATCAAGTAGAAAAACATTATAAAGTACAGATTTATTCATTTGTTTGCGATGTCCCTGCGCGATCGTATTTGAAATGTGTAAAATCACACGGCGATTACTTTTCTTGTGAAAAATGTATTGTGCGTGGTGATTATTATGTAAAGAAAGTAAAATGAAAATTCTCGAACAAGACAACTATGAAAGGAAAGGTAATACTAAAAAATGTAGACGAAAAGCTAAGAACAGATGAATCATTTCGATGTAAACGTGATGAAGAGCATCATTTAAGCGATACACCTTTATTAAAATTAAATATTGGACTTGTTACTTGCTTTCCAATAGATTATATGCATAATGTATGCTTAGGGGTAACTCGCAAACTTTTAACTTGTTGGATGAGTGGAGATTTACATGTACGATTATCAAGTCGCGAAATAAATACCATTTCTGAAAAAATGGTTGCATTAAAAAAATATTTTCCGCAAGAAATAAATAGAAAACCTAGGCCACTAAGTGAAATTGCGCGTTTTAAGGCTACTGAATTTTGTTCTTTTTTATTATATTTAGGGCCAGTTGTGCTTGCAGAAACTTTAAATGTTTCATTTTACGAACATTTTCTACTTTTTCATTTCTCTATAGTTATTTTGTGTTCTGACAAACACATATCAAATCACGGTTGTGAATTAGTTTCTAAAATGCTGAAGACTTTTGTAAAACATTGTGAACATTTATACAATCCTGAATTTATGGTATACTACTGATACTACTGATATAATGTTCACTCTCTCATACATTTACCAACTGATGTAAAAAAATACGGACAACTTGATAACTTTTCTGCTTTTCCCTTCAAAAATTTTCTAGGACAGTTATCGCGACTTGTAAAATCTCCTAAAGAACTATTAGTACAACTTTGTAATAGAATTGCAGAATATGATTTATTGGGAGACAAAAAAAATAATACACAAATATATCCTACATTAGAAAGAGAACATTGCGTTGGACCAATACTAAATATATTAACATCATTTCTGCCCAGTACAAAAAAGTTAATTTTAAAGATTTTATATTAAAAATTTATTCACATTCTAAAGCTGACTGTTATTGCCTCATTAAATCAAATGTTGTTCAAATACATAATTTTATTAAATTAAAACATGAAGGAACTATCGTAGTAGGAAAAATGTTTACTAAATATAGTTCATTATATAACTATCCATTTCATTCACAAGAATTAAATATTTTTGTTGTTGAACAACTATCTGATTTAAAAATATGGCAATTAAATGATATAGATACTAAGTGTTTAGTTTTTCCTTATAAAAAGAAATATGTTTCTTTTCCTTTATTACATACAAATCATTATTAGAAATCATTTCTATTTTATAGTTAAAAAACTATGTTTTAATTTTGTAAAACAAATAATATATTTACTATTGTGTATTTCTTTTGTATGAATAATATAAAATATATTGAAACAAAATATATATTGTGTTTTCATTTATTTCATCAAACTGACGTTAATAAAACGTTTAAAAAACGTTCCTAAGATGTCTAAAAAACGTCATTTTTACGTAACTTGTCGACGTCATATGACGTTGCAAAAATGACGTCAATAGACTGTGACATAATGACGTTATAGGTATGTCGAAATGACGTCCAATTCATGTTACTAATAACGTTTGCGGGCTGAAAAATGCACGTCATTTTGACGTCACCTTGTTAGCTGGGATATTTTAAAATTAATGTATCTCTTTCTTATGTGTTAATAATAAATTTATCAGATTATATAGTATCTATGCTAAAATAATATATAAATGACTGAAAAAAATTTATTTTCTATAATTTTTTTATTATTATTTTTGTAATCAAATTTTTGATATTCTGTGTATATATAAAATAAATCAGAATGTATAAATAGAATATTAAAATTAATGACATTGTCTTTCTAAAAAGTATATTTATGGATGAGTTATCAAGGAGAATCTGTATATAAATTTCCGAATATAAGAAAAGATGATGTTACGTTCATAACTGAATCCACTAAAATGCTTGAATTAAAAGGGAAACATATTATAGATATTGCTTGCAATAAAACAGATTTTCTCATCCTTACTGATGATGGAAAAGTAAATATTTTATGTGAAATCTAACAATAATATTTATATCATTATAATAATTTATGATTATTTCAGATATATAGTTGATTTGTGTACCTTGATTCAATACAGGTATCATCTTCTTCAGAGTCAGAATCAGAATCAAAATCAAAGTCAGACTTTTCCTCAGAAACACAAATTATTGAGTATATATAGGAAGAAAAATTTGATAAAAATAAGATATATTAACATTATCGGCGATTTAATTACAACGAATATACTTTGGTTAGTTTAGTTCTTGTTGATATACAAGAATATTTTGTTATATCCTAATTAGATAGTTATCTACTAATCTTTTTAATTTATAGGTACGTAGGATTGAAATTTGATCAAATCAATGAACATCTTGAAAAATTAACAAATAATAACAAACGTAGAATAAAGTGAGCTTCCGTACTACTTTCTCATCAATCCAGATATGTAAAAGCTTCGAGAAACGCATATACAATATGAATTGTAATGTAAGCGAATTATATCATTTTTATTAATCATGGCATATGATTACGTTTCATGTAACAAATTAATATCATGTGTGCACAGACATCTTCATTTGGAATTACATAAAATATCTTGCAAAATAGATCTGATATATTGAACACAAGTAATTATGGAAATGGGATGTTACTTCCTTTACATAGCATTGGGTTTTCATAATATTTTTAATATGATATTCATCAAAGATTATCAGAATAATATATACCTTCTCATAATTGTATTCTTATGGCTTTTCTTGCACATTTTCAGACTCTTTCTCATAAATTATGCATGTGAAAGAGTTAGCATCAAGGTATGAAAGGAAGCATTTATTTGAATTTTATTTTTAACAATTTTTAGTTTATTAAACATATATATTATTGTTCAGGATTTGCTATGTAATTCAAATTAAAAATTCACTCCGGTCATACTGGCGCCATCCGTTCACACTCGATCGAACTCGAAAGTATGTAATGCCGTCCTTGTTTCGCGAAATCAGCCAGAATCCGCGTGATCACGGATGATTACATGGTCCTGGCCAATCGGGAGATCCGAAAATCACGCGATGTAACGTGCCTAAATCGGATAGGCTAAAATTTGATCACCCGACTCGCGATCGAATCTTTATCTTCCGGAAGAAAGCCTCTCTCGGTGTGAGTTGTCGAAATTCCTTTGCAGTGAAAAAAGAGTCATCTAATTGCCAGTTTGAATCAGTGAGAACGCGAGCACATAAAACCGATACATTGTTGGACGTAGTAGTGCCAAGTATCGATTCGAAATTCCGTTCAAATCATAGTGTCGGTTCGAAGTCCCGTTCGAATCATTCAGTGCCGTCACAAACTGCAAGTTTAATCGCGAGTGCCGGAACACAATTGAGTACCTCCACTCTCGTAAGCAGGAGGAGCCTCGGCCTCCGCTCTTTCGTGTGCTCATAAATCGCGCTGTCTCGCTTGCTCTAGCGAACCGTTTGATAGTGCGGTCTCGCTCGCTCTCGCGAACCGTCGTATAGTGCGCTCTCGCTCAATCTCGCGTGCAGCCGATAAAGCGCTGTTTCGCTTACTCTCGCGAACCGTTTGATAGTGCGGTCTCGCTCGCTCTCGCGAACCGTCGTATAGTGCGGTCTCGCTCGCTCTCGCTCGTCGCTGTATCGAGCGATCTCGATTACTCCAGCGCGCCGTTCGATTAACTCATAATCCTCGCAATCGCTTTTGTGAACGCTACGAACATTTTGTTGAACAGTGGAAAATCTTGTTCGAAACATTGTAATAAAGTGAAAGTAACTCTCTCGTGGAAGCTACTTTGTCAAATTCGCAGAAGCAAGCTCACATTCTTTCATCCCATCACTCATCCTCCGCTAAGTCACGTGTCCTCCCAGCTCGCGATACCCACTCGGGTGTGTACCGGCATTAAGCGAGCAACTTCAAAGTTGCAATCCAGAACAATTATACACCCATACAGCACAAACTGTTTCAAAATTGTTTCAGAAATGTTTCAGAAATATTTCAACCTTTCATGTGTTGAACATTATCTTCTGCAATAATTTTGCAAGATTTCTGCAATATGTCTTTTGAATGTTTGAAAAAGAATTATCTCTGAAACCTTTCTTAAGAAACAATTTTGAAAACTTTCAGTTGAGTTATCTCAGAAATTTTCCATCTGAAATAATTTTGAAAACTGTCAATTGATTTATCTCTGAAATCTTTCATATGAAATAATTTAGAAATTTTTTATTTACATGCTTTTTTAGTTAAAATCTTGGAAATAGGAATCCTACTATATGTGAATTCAGCTTAATTAATTTTTAATGTCAATTTATAATGAGTAAATATAAATTATATATTATAAATATAAAAGTATATTAAAAGTATATTTTTATATACATAAATATTAATATAATTATATATATATAATATATAATAATTTATATATTATATACTGTGTATGTGTTAGATTGGGATACGATAAATTTTATAACATTTATTATAAAATAGTTATGAGAGTAAAATGAAAAATTGAATAATTTGATTAAAGAAAATAAGGTATGTGAAATATTCATATAAATCTGATATAATGATAATAAATCACAATTAGCCATCATTTTCGACGAACTTATACATTTTCTATTAACGCACTCAATATGTATGTGCTTCAAGGACTGCATTTACTTTGGACGCATTTCTTTTTAAAGAAGGAGGAAGACGAAGAAGAAGAATAAGTAAAGCGCGTAAGCGTCTAAAGCGACGCGACGCAGCCACTGGTAATAATGTAGCTCATATATCACGAAGTGTGGCCATATTCGAAACGCGAACAACACGCGCGACCGTAAGGGATGCGCAGAGCTCAAACGAACGCGCAACGTTTTCGCTTACTGCGCATCTCCATACGGTCGTATCGTGTTGCTCGCCTCTCGAATCTAGCCATATTGATATCACGTGATATCATGTGGATCATGCTTCCATGCGGATCGTTTGCTTTCGCTGCTTTTGGCTGAAAAGAACAATTATTCTGCGTTTTTCTTCAGATTAAGACATTGCGTGAAGAGTTAGAATTGAAGTAAATAAAAAGGTAATAATATTGTGTTTTTACTTATCACGTAAGTAAAAATATTCTGCGTTTTTCTTCAGATTAAGACATCGCGTGGAGAGTTAGAATTGAAGTAAATAAAAAGGTAATAAATAATATTGTTTTTACTTATCACGTAAGTAAAAATATTATCAAAACATAATTTGTAAAACTTTACTTAACCTCAACAACGTGTTTGTGTGATTCAACGCTTTAAAACATTTATGTCTATATATATATATATATATATATATATATATATATATATATAATAATTTATAATATATAAAACAAAAGATCTTCAATTTCTGTAATAAACATTAAAAAAGATATTAATTCATAAAATAATTATGGATAGAAAACGCAAAAGGTATTCGTCACTTTCCAAAAGGCATTTTCGTAGGTTAAGGGGGGGGTATGCTATTTAAAATTTTTTTTTGGCATTTTTTTTTTATTTTTTTAAATGAATGCGCAACATCTCAAGAATATTCAGTCAAAATTTCAAGTCGATCGGAGCAAAAGTAAAGAAGTTATGAACGCTTGAAGGACCGTTGTTCCGAGCCGTATTTCTCTACCCGCTCGACCGGTGTGCGGCGCGCTGACGTGGCACTCTATTGTATTCATTCCTAATCCCTAAATTCCTTTATTGCTGAAAGCATCTTTTCAGGTAGCCTTGTGAGCATTGAAAACATGGTATATACATCAGTTGCTCGCTGTATGTCGTGTTGAACGGTAGAAAGTGAGTCGAAAAATTTGACTGTTATCGTTCGAGTTCGTTGAATTTTCGGGCATTTTGAACTGTGTTTGTGTTTGAACTGTTACTGAGTGTATTTGTTATTATTAAAGATGCCTCGAAAAGTGACTAGAGATGATCGTAAATACGGCAAAAAGTATTTGAACCGAGCAAAAAAAATAATACCGCCACAAAAGCGTAAAAACGATGAAGTAACAGCTGGCAGCTCGTCGTCGAAAAAAATTAAAAATCGTCCCGCTATTGAAATAGAAGCTATAAAGTTCTGGAAGCCATGATGCCCATTTATGAGGACTTGAGCAGGGACGCACTGTTGCAGCGATGTCTTGGAGGTTTTACACAAAACAATAACGAAAGCCTCAATCAGCTAATATGGAAAATCTCTCCAAAGGCATACAGTGGAACCTCTACAACCGTACAAATTGCAGCTAATGTGGCTGCTTGCACTTTTAATGAAGGTTCTATTGCCCTGTTGGCCTTCATGGAAGAGATGCACATCGGTACAGGCCCTAGTTCTCATGAATGGGCGCGACAAGTTGACGATTTGCGAATTACTAGAGGAGGCGAGAAGGCGGCTCACGACAGTAAAGAAGGGAGAGTTTCGCGGAGACAAACACAAAAAGATGCTCTGGATCTTCTGGATGAAAGCGCCTTGCTGTATGGACCTGGTATCGACGATTCTGTGTGAGTATAAAAGAACTATCGACTTTTATTTCGGGATTTTTAGTGTGCAAAAGTTTAAAGTGTTTTTCTCGAACTTGCCTTTTCCGAAGTCCGTGATCACGATAACTCAAAATCTACTCGATCAATCGTTCTAAAACTTGGCACACTGCTTCGTAACAATATTTACCAGGTATTCCTGGGAGCTTTTTTTGATTTGTTAAAAATTGTTAATTTTACAAAAACAAATAACTCGATTTTTTGCACCAAAAATCAGAATTTTGGCTTCAAAGTGCCACTAAAAATTAAAAAATCAAAAAAAAAAAAATTCCCCCCAGCGTTACCTCGAAAAACATTTCCTTTAACGAATGCATTTTTATTTTTTGGTTTCAGATGATTCTACTACGAGTTATGATGATCACCGCCAAACCACTTTTTTTAGGAGCGCCTTCGGAAATTCGTTGTCACTCGCGTATTTTTCGATATTTTTCGATGAAAATTTAGCAAGCTACTCTTCAAATGTTGTATTATTACATGGAAATTGAATAAATAAAGTAACATTATCTGTTTCGCCAAAAAAAATTCGTAAAAACATGCCTTTTTTCCATCGAAATTAGCATACCCCCCCCTTAATTGCAAACAATACTGCTTTTGATCTTATAAATACATTAGGTAATACATCTAATCTTATAAACAGTGATAGTTCAAATGATTCTATTGATAACAATATTGATAACAATATAGATTCCAAAGAAATGAAAAGTTCAGATGAATTAATCCAACGTAATGAAAGCTTAGAAGAATCAATAGATGCAATTCAAAAAAGTTCTAGCAGTAGCATCGAATCATTACATGAATTAATGGATAATAATATCGATTTACATTCTTATGATGAATTATTAGAAGAAAGCGATAGTGAAGAAAGTACAGATTCTGCTGACGAAAACATAAAATATAATTTAGAAAATATTGAAGTCGATGAAATTGCAAAGAATCATGGAGAAAATCAATTTTTACGAGATATATCTTCTTGGGCTATTAAATTTAATATCTTTCACACTTCACTGTCAGCCCTTTTATTTATATTACGAAAATATATTCATTATCCAATTCCTAAAGATCCTCGAACCTTACTGAAAACACCAAGGCATACAGCAATTCTTAAAATGGGTACTGGAGAATACTGTTATTTTGGTTTGGAAAATGCCTTAAAAGATATGTTAGATGAATATGCGAATAAAGTTAGATACCAACCTAATAGTCTTAATATATTGATAAATATTGACGGTTTACCAATTTTCAAATCAAGTAATTCTTCTTTGTGGCTAATTTTATGTTCGGATACTATTTTAAAGTCGGTTTTTATTGTTGGAGCATATTTTGGTCAAACAAAACCAGAAAATCATAATAATTTTTTGAGAAGATTTGTTGATGAAGCAATTTTATTAATAAATAATGGACTTGTACATAATGAAATACGTGTAGCCATCAATTTACATGGTTTAATTTGTGATGCTCCTGCCAAGGCATTTGTTCTAGCTGTAAAAAATCATACTGGGTATAATAGCTGTACGCAATGCACAATTAGAGGCGATTACATAAATGGAAGCGTATGTTTTCCAGCAACAAATTTAAACAATGCTTTAAGAACTGATCAAGATTTTGAAAGTAATAAGTACGATGATTATCAAACCGGAGATACGATTTTAAAGCAAATTCCGAATTTTGGGTTAGTGTCAAGCGTACCGCTTGACTATATGCATCTTGTATGTTTGGGCGTTGTGAAAAAATTAATATTACTTTGGATAAAAGGTCCTCGTTCCATACGATTATCTCAACAATTACTTAATCAGATTTCAGGAGCTTTATTAAACTTACAAACCAGTGTACCTAATGATTTCGTTCGACGTCCAAGATCATTAAAAGATGTAAAGTTGTGGAAAGCCACGGAATTTCGGCAGTTCCTTCTTTATACGGGCCCAGTTGTATTAAAAGACGTGGTATCCAAAGACATTTACGTAAACTTTATAACTTTACATATTGCTATTACAATTCTTGCAAGTCCCGTTCTTTCAAAGGATAATGTTATCTGGGCCCAAAAGTTATTAGAGTATTTTCTAACATGTTTTAAAAAAATTTATGGAGCTGAATATATGTCTCACAATTTACACAATTTATTACACATTTGTCCAAATGTACAAAAATACGGGCCTGTTGATAAATTTAGTGCTTTCAGATTCGAAAATTACATGTTACACATAAAAAAATTAATTCGAAAGAATGAAAAACCTCTTCAACAATTGTCAAGAAAGTATGCTGAAATTAAAAACGTCAATTTGCCTATTAAGAAACTTCAAAATAATCATCAAATGTATTTTGAGAAACCTCACAAGAATGGACCTCTTATTACTGGATATAACTTTCACTCTCAATATAAAGTATTGCACAATAGTTCATATTCGATTCATGCTAACAGTAGAAATAACAATTGTATTCTATTTGAAAATGGAACTATAGTATCTGTTCTAAATTTAGTCCAATGTGAAGATAACAAAAAATATATAATTGGAAAAAAACTAAAAGTAGTAAAAAATTTATATTCAGACCCTATATATCCTTGTGCATCAGAAGTATTGGGTATACAAATTATGAGTGAAAACACTCCTATAAATATATGACTTTGTGAAAAAATTCAGAGTAAAATGTGGAAAATGCCTTATAACTCAGATAAAAAGCAGATTGTTGTTTTCCCCATTATACATACATAAATTATCATCACACAGAAATTGTTATCACAGATAGTTAATTTGTTTATATGCATAATTAAAACAAAATAATTATATAATATATTTATAAATACTGAATTTAATCACAATAATAATTAAATATGTTTTTTTGACAACTTCAGTTACAAAATAAGCTTGTGAAAATGTCTACTTAAATATTTCATTATATTTATATTTTTGTCGATACAATATTTTTTCTCAATAAACACTAATAATAAGCAAAAGTCGATTCATATTATATGTGACGAATATCCATAACAAATCGACAACGTCGTGTAAATATAGCATACAATTGACGGTTCGTAACGTTGCTACTCATATTATAAATGGATATATATATATATATATATATATATATATATATATGTATTTCGCGATATTTTTTTATATTATAGTACACTACACGAAATGCAACAATTCGCCATTGTTGAGTTTGAAGATGGCTTACAATTAGTGCCCAGCACTTGGATGTTAGATAATGAGAAAGAATGTTTTTGGCCACCTTATACTAATTTATCAAAAATGAATCGAGCCATTTCAAATTGTGAAGCTGTCTCCGACAATTGGCAAACTCTTAAAATAATACGTGTATTTGGAACTGCAAGTAAGTAAGAAATAATTATGTATTATCAAAGACACGCAGAGGTATTTTTATGTAACATTAATTATGATTTGTAATATTCTAGGTTCATATGAAAGTGGAATAGAAAAGGTAAAATTAGTAGAGCAATTCTCAGATATCGATAATTGTACTGACAGTGAGACGTCGAAAAAATCAAGAAAAAAACATGCGAAGAAAAGATTCAATATCGACAGTGATGATGAAATTGATAGTAATGATGAAACTTTGTCATCGTTACCTCCACCACCAAAAATACCAACACTTCCAAATAAATATCCAACAAAATGCTCCAAAAGTCAACCTTCCAATGGATGTAATAACACATCCAAGATTTTGAAAGATAGTTCTAATTCTGCAAATAAAGAGAAATTTTCGCCACGTAATATATTACCTACCTCATCAAAGATTTGTCAACAAACTAATCCAACGGATTTCATGGAAAATTCTTCTCCATTGTCTAACAATTCAGATTTAGTCAGAAAAATACAACTCTTCATGTCAAATTATGCAACAGATAACGGTAATGTGTTATTTATAACTTAGATTGGTTATAAATTATTTGGTTTACATACATGTTTTATTTGTCATGCAATAATTTGGCTTTAATACCCATACGGCACAGAAATATTGCAGCAACATTGCAGAAATATTTCTTTGCAAGATTGCAACATTGCAGAAATGTTGCAAAATATTGCTGCAACGTTGCTGCAATATTGCAGCAACGGTAAAATGTCCGCTTGTAGAAATATTGCAATGCAATATTGCAGCAATGTTACGGTGCAACGTATTTGTAATATTAAAACGCGTTTTGCTACAAATGCAGACACCGTTTTAAATTTAATAAATAAACTTTGAAAATATAAAAAGCCGTGTTTCAGAAAGATAGGAAAAAATGCCTTTAAAAAAACATCTATTAGTGTTTTTATTAGATGTTTCTTAAATATTTATCTCAATAATATTACATATAATTATTTTACATACATTCGACATCAGAATATTTTAATATGTGCAATAAATTAATTATTTTCTATTATTTTCTATTTTCAATTAAGAAAAATCTGTTTAATATTCTGAAATCCAATAAAGGATCCAGATTATTAAACAAATTATTTGTTTAATAATCTAGATCCCTCATTAGGATTAAGTAAATCAAGTCAGTTTATCGCCAGAAATTAAACTGACACAAGAAATATAATTACTACATTAATCCTTTGTGACCTTATATCCATCTTAAATGAATTCGAATACGAGTTGGTTAAATTGGGTGTCACCGCGTAGCGGCAAGTAAAGAAACACATGTTATACATTTTCGCTATGTTAAAACGTTGCTACAACATTGCCAAAGTAATATTACAAAATAATGTCTCTGCATTAGTGCAGCAACATTACACTGCAGTGAGTAATATTGTAACATTGCAGCAACGTTGCAGCAAGCTTCTGTGCTATATGGATATTTATTCATGTTATTGAGGTTGCAGAATTGAAGAAAGAATTGTTACGGAGAACAAACCAAATATTTGTAAAATTAGAAAGTTTTGACGACAAATTACACAATATACAAGAAAAAATTGATGGCGTTGGTCAAGGCATTAACGATAACATATGTGATTTTATGGAGATCGTTTCATTGCCGTTACAAAATCACGATGACGTTAAAGCATTGGAAAATAATCTTAAAGAGAAAGAATGTTTTTCAAAAATGGTAGGAGAATGATTTTTTCATTAAAGTAACTTTTTAACGTAATTTTTTCTAATATTAAATGTAAACGCTTATTCATCTAAATATCTGGAGATATTGGAATTTGTGTAAAATATGCGAGTATGCACGTGCGAGTGTGTGTGTGTGTGTGTGTGTGTGTGTGTATATACAAATAAGAAAAGTCTGCTTTTTTTAATAATAAAAAATATTTTGAGCTTTAAAAATTATTTTAAAAAACCATTTTTTGAAATTTACACTTAATTTAACTGTTTTCTTAGGTTATCTTCATGACAAATTTAGGTGGCAAAGATTTTCACGACCTGACCGTAACTATATTAAAGCGTGTATGCAGCAATTCCCTTTCGACTTTGTATACTTGGAATGGAACAAAAGTCAAACAATCTTTTAAGGATTTGCTTTTAACAAGATGTATTATGAGTAAGCATGATTTTTACTTATTTAATTTCTTTTTTATTTTTTAAGAAATTATGCACCTTTCATGCGCACTTTCGATGCGCGAAGTCTCATCTGAGAAACAAGTAAATTCGGAAATGGATATCACATTTCTACTAACATAGCGGGAAGGGAAAGAGGCCAGCACTGATTGGATATAATATATAATTCTAATATCGGGGGTGTAGTCTTATCTGCATTTTAAATAACCGAGACGGATGCGCGTTAAAAGTTCGCGGGAAAGATGCATAGAATCTCTCAATATTTTATTTTGCAATGTTCATTATCTAATAATTACGAACATAATGCTTGTGAATATTGCAAACGTCTATCAAAAAGAAATACAGTTTAAATAATATTTTATAATATTTTTATTTCAGAATGTATACGTTCTAAATTCAATTGCACAGAAAAAGAAGTAGCAGATGTTATTTCGAAGTGGTTGATTCAGGGAAAATTAAGAAAGGATAGAGAAGAGTAAATATAATCAAAAAGTAAAATAAAGAGAGATAGTTCTTGCTATTTAGATAATTCTTGTTATAAATCTGATTAAAATTTAATAACTCTACTTAACATTCGCTATCAGTATCCTTCAGAGAGAACGTTTGTTTATGTATTTTGTCACTTGTTAGTGACTTAATTAAAAATTTAATTAACATTTCGAAAAAATAATTTATGTATTTTTAAAAATATGAATCAATATTTTATCAGTTAAAAGAATATTGCGTTTGTAAATTTACAAAATATGTATATACAAAAAATACATTTATAATACTTTCATTTATTATATCACTATATTTGCAGAGAAAAATTGAAACGTATTTCTAAAGAAAATGTGGATCCCTCATGCGTGCAATGTAACGATGAAGATGCGAGCACGAATTCTGACAATGAATAAGAATTAGATATTAATGCAATTAAGATATTAATTAGATATTAATGCAATGCAATTTAATATATGTAATTTAATATACGTATTATTCTATTGTACTTTATATATATTTTACTTATGCAATTCAAGTGCAATTTAATACATACTTTTACTCTTAATACATACTTTTTTTACTTATTTTATTTAATATTAATATAATATATATGCTACAATTTAATAAATAATGTTCTAATATATATATGTATATGTATTATATATATATATATATATATATATATATATATATGTGCTGTAGTAAAATGCTATTATTCCAAACATATTTTTACGAATTATTTAATATTTCCATTTCTTATTCTAAAATTGATTAGTTATATGATATATTAAACTAATTGTAAAAGAGGCAAACTATTTAAATAGCTGAAAAAAATGTAAAGAAAAAATATATAATTCTAAACATTTTAAATATATCGAATCTTCACAAAAAACATACTTCCAAAACTTTACTAAAATTTTTCAAAATTAATTATGGATTTAATTTGTTTTGGAAATAATCCAAAACAAGTTAAGTCCATAATTAATTTTGAAAAACTCAAGTTAAGTTTTGAAAATATGGTTTTTGTGAAGATTCGATTAATATTTCTAAAATCATTCTGAAATAGTTTTGAAACGTTTCAAAGACTTTGAAGATTTTGAGAGATTTTGAAATTATTTTAGGAATATTTTAGAAATATTTTAAATGTAAGAAACGCGGACATTTTAACGTCTCAGAGCTATCTCAGAGATGTTGCAGAAACATTTTGAAACATTTCAGAAATATTTCAACTTTTTCAATGCAATATTTCTGAGCTATTTCTGAAACAATTTGTGCTGTATGGGCATATACACATACATACATATATATATATATATATATATATATATATATAATTTAATATTAAAATACTTACGTTAATTTTATTTTATATATTCAAATTTGAGGCAAATGCAACAGGAAATTTTATAAGTAAATTATTATATTCTGATTGCGATTATGAAATTCGTGGAAATGTAAGTTTTAAAATTTAATGTATTATGTTATTATAAAAGTATAAACTTTAATTAAGTTTAAATTCATAAGAACAAATATATTAATATATTAGATACAAATATATTAGAATATATATACATATATAATTTATTGTATTAATATGGATTCTACAATTTTTACTTATGATTCAATCACCAATCAAATTCTACGGATTTGGACTCTTTCAATTTGGTTTCAAATTTCTTCAAAGTGTATATTATAATAATATAATTATTCGTTATAATTAGCTGAAATCCATAATAAATATAAAAAAGTAACTATTCTGATTTTTTTTATAGGTTGTTACATCTGTTGTCACCGTTTTAATCATATTACTACAAACTTACACAAATAACTACATACATTTAAAAAAAAAATTATAAAGTATATAATGTGCAAAAATAATATAATTGAAAAATTAAAGTGATCAGTCAGTCAAATAAGTCGAAACGTCCGCACACATCTTCAACATCTTTATATATTATAACTATCTTGCTTAAAGCTTGTAATTATGATTTATTAATATATATTTTGATTAACATTTCTACACTATTGATTTTTTAGCTCTCTACGCCTGACTGATCACTTTAATTTTTGAATTTACAGAGAGCTTTATTATTATTTTTGTTAATATAATTGACTTTCGGTACATAATACTCACCATATAATATCTTATAAAGTTTACTAAAATGTACCATTTCCAAAATGTACCATTTACTATATAATATTTGTAAGTAATAAACTTACATGATACTATATTTCTGACAATTATACAAAGTCATTTGACTAAGAAAGCGTGAATATATAATTATCGAATTTTCAGGCCTCAAAGAAAATTTTCTCAAAAGCAAAACCGTATAAATAAATTATTGTATATATATATATATATATATATATATATATATATATACATACGTACATATATATGTACGTATGTGTAATTTAGATAATTACATGATATTTATTGAACAGTTAAATCTATGCTAAATTATTTTTTTTAAATGATGTTAATATTTTTCATTTAATGGATTATTGAAAAAATTATATTCGACCAAACTAGCCAGAAATTTCCTTTATTTAATACGACGTTTCGATCATATGGTTGTGGTCCTTATCAAGTATATACTGGAAGGATTTAAAATACATTAAATACAACAAAGTACAACGCTTGTCAATATCCTTTTACAAATATTAACAAATCAAAGTGGTTTGTTAACATCAGTAGCAGAGACATACCAGACGTGGTGTCCGATTTTTTGAGCTTGGGTGATAACTTTGCCTTGCCATTAAAACAAGATGAGCGAATCGATCGCACGAATTATGTGTTGGATGTCATTAAGAACTTTGAAGCGAAGAGTAACATTCTGCCTACTGACACCATCGAAACAACTAGGATTTCAGTGGCTAACATCCTTCAAAGATTTCTTTTCACAAAAAAACACATTAATCATCCAGATAGATGCATTCTCGATTCGTTCGCTGTTTCTAAAAAATTCATACGCGATAATAATGTGGCGGACACTCACGTGTGCCCGAAAAAGAAAAGTCATAAAAGTAAAAGTTACAGCACGTAAATCTCGAGTTTACAAGGGCGAACCCGAACGTGTTGAAAACAATAAGATTTTCACACATATGCCGGGCATTCCTAGCCTTTCCGTAGACGACAGATTCTCACCCTTTCCGCCTAGGCATTCGGCTGCCTACATGCGACGCGACCGGACGGGCGGCACCCGCGATGAGTAATCCCCCGCGATTAGGAATAAGCACTCGTTTGTATGTAAAATAAACTGTACATATCCTCTGTAGTGATTCTTACTCCATTTCCACGCACCACCACCTCAATTGGACCCCGACGTGATCGCTTGGGTAAAGAGGTGAACGTGGGAATTAGTGAAATTTTCGCGAAGACGGAAGTGCGTGTGCACGCGAAAATGTCGCTCCCGGAAAGGAACGTAACCCTTGACGCCAGTGCCGAAAACGAAACGATCAACATTATAAGCCAAAATAATTTGCGCATCCCGCAATTCTGGCCGCAAAAAGTCGCTTTGTGGTTTCGACTGTTAGAAGCGCAGTTCGCATCCGCGCGTATCACGAAGGACGACACGAAGTTCAATGTGGTCATCGCGAACCTCGGCGAGAAATATATCGAGCAAGTAGAAGATGTAGTGATGGACCCGCCGGCAGTCGAAAAATACGAACACCTTAAGAAGGAAGTCATCAAGCGGTTGACCGAATCAGACAGTTCGCGCGTGCGGAAGTTATTGGAGAGCGAAGAAATCGGCGATCGGACACCTTCGCAATTTTTCCGCGACCTCAGGAAACTCACGACCCCGTCAATACCTGATGATTTCGTCATAACG